CGAAGAAGTATCAAATTTCTTGTCTCCACTTGTTTCTTTCTCACAGGTCGCAATTGATTGATATGCCTCTTATATCGACGCTCTCGCGACTTATAAGGTAGTGACGGTAGCTCAATAATTTCAAAATGGTACCTTTTTACCGTTTAGGTCCAGTTGCATAGTTGCGGCAATAAACCTCGCAACCTGTAGTAAACTGCTCCTGCCTTCTTACGGCCTCATGAAATACCCCTCGCGGATTTCCCATCTTGGTATTAAATTCGAGAATCTTGATTTTAAACTTCTCTTCATTAGCAGTTCCGCGGGGGAATTCCTTTATTACAGTTTGGAGGAATGCTCTATGAGCAAATATGAATCTTTGTAGATTCGTCTCTAAATCATCCTTCCCATTATTCTTTCTCAAAAGGTTTTTAAATTCTCTTACATATCTCTCAGCTAAACCATTTGTACTAGGATTATACGGACTGGTCTTAGTGTGCCGTATAACATTAATTTTGGTAAATTTCTCGAACTCACCGTAGACAAACTGTCTTCCGTTATCTGTAACCAAAAATTAGGGCAATCCAAATCTGGCAAAAATTTCTCTAAGATGATTTTTAATCGTTTTATTGGTAATATCTTTGATGATAAAAATTTCTATCCACTTTGAGTATGCGTCCACGAGAACCAAAAACATTCTTCCCATGAACGGACCCGCTAGATCAAGATGAAGTCGATGCCACGGTTTTTCCGGCCAAGTCTATTCCGAGATGGTAGCCGAGGGCATGCTTGCCGATTCTTGGCATACTCTACATTCTCTAGTTAACTCCTCGATGTTACTGTCTATGCCTGGCCACCAGAAAATACCGTCTGGCAATCATCATCATTTTAACAATCCCCATGTGTATTTCATGCAAGTCATTTAAAATTAAATATCTTAATTTTTGGGGAATTACCACTCTTTCACGCCATTGAAGACAACCAAACTCCAAACTTAATTCCTCATTGATCTTATAATGAGGAGCTAGTGGGTTTTCTCTAGGTACCCTTGTGAATTTCCAGTTGCCTTCTCTAACATTCCTTAATACTATAGACAGTATTTTATCTTGGGGCGTCTCATATGCTACCTCCATAAAAGAGAACGGTACCTCATTCAACTTCCTGAGAAGAAGTACCTGGTCTTCATCAAGAGACTCCCTGACACTCGTTTCTAAAGGAAGACGTGACAATGCGTCAACATTGGAATTATCACTAGTTTTTCGAAATTCTACAGTATAATTAAATGCAGCTAAATTTAAGGACCATCTTTTAATTCTGGATGATGCACATATGGAAATTGGTTTATGAGGTGAAAATATATGAATTAAGGGTCGGTTGTCTGTGACCAATACAAATTTTCGTCCCAGTAAGTATTGTCTGAATTTATCAACGCCAAAAGTTATGCTCAACGCTTTCTTTTCTAGTTGAGAGAAACGTTTTTCCGCTTCAGTTAATGTTCAAGAAGCAAAAGCTATAGGGCATTCTTCCTTTCTATCATTTCTATGACTCAGAATTACGCCTAGTCCATAGTCCATTAATAATGATTTACATTTTTTAAATAACATTCGATATTCTTTCGTCCAATTCCATCTACAATTTTTATTCAAAAGTTGATAGAATAGCGCAAAAATGTTTGCAATATTCTTTATGGATCTATAATAATAAATTAAGAGTCCTATGAAAGATCTTAATTGCGAAACATTCTTTAGGTTCAGGCGCCTCTATCACTGCTTTAATTTTATTTTCTAAGGGATGCAGTCCATATTTATCCATTTTAAACCCTGAATATTCCACCTATTTCTTTTTAAATTTATATTTATATCTGTTTAACTTCAAACCTTTTTCTAGCAATCATCTAAACACTAGATCCAACTTTTGTTCATGATCTTCAAAGTCTTTTCCTGCAACCAAAATGTCATCTATGTAGCAGGCCATATCTGGCAAATCAGCAAATAGACCATTCCATAATCCTCTGAAATTTATTTGGTGCTACCGCTACGTCATATGGTAGTCTTTTATAAGAAAACAACCTCTTTGTTGTCTTTATATCAACAACAGCTTTGGCTTATTCCGCTAACATTACTTGTAAGTAAGCCTGTGATAGGTCTAGAGTCGAATATACGGTGCTTGTAGATAATTTTGAAAATATCTCATCGATCGATGGAAGGGAATACCTATCAAATTCTATTACTTTATCAGCTGTACATCTAAAATCACCACATATGCTTACACTACCATCCTTTTTTAATACTGGTACTATTGAAGCGGTCCAATATGCATGGACTATAGGTTATAAAGTGCAAGAATTCACTAAACGATCAATTTCATTCTCTACTTTGTTTTTTAGAGAGAAAGGTAAACTTCTGGCCTTACAAAATACAGGAGTCACATCCTTTTTTAAATTAAAATTTATTTTAACATCCTTTAGACAGCCCAAATCTTTGTTAAACAAATCTGCATATCTATCAATCAAACTATTTCTATTAGATTCATTATTTAAATTTTTAATGCTAAACAATCTAGAATAATCAAGTTTTAACTGTTTAAGCCATTCTCTTTCTAACAAAATCACCTGTATTTTTCATTTACAACTATTAATCGTAAATATTGGTTGGCTTATTTTACAAAAACATTTATTTGCCCTATAATCTCTATTGATTTAACACAAAAGGATTTTAATCTTAAATTTGTTGGAAATAATTTTTTACCTTGCCAATAAATCTTATAAATATCTTTAGATATTAACGTAACTGGACTTCCTGTATCTATTGTAAAGCACAAAGAATAATCATCTACTGTTAAATTTATTGTGGCATCAGTTTCGCCCTGTACAGAATATATAGAGTCCTCCGTACAAATTTACATCCCCACATTTTTTTACTAGCTTTGCAGACCCTACTTAAATGACCCAGTTTTTTTACATTTTAAAACAATTCTTTGTTCTATGAGGGCAAACAGAGGCCACGTGTGAATGTCTTTCACCACCTCTCTAACACATTATTTCTCCCCTTTGCCTGAAAGGCCTATGCTGCACCATACTATTATTGTACTCACTCTTTTTACCTTTTCCATTCACAGGGGATATCTTGGCTACTGATTTATCTTGTAATTCTCTTGTATTTATCTTCGCCAGTTCGAACGAGATCGCTACTGCAAAACTTTATCCAGGGTGACATCGTCGTTTTCTTGTAGTAGCTTTTTTTGCAGGCTTTCCAAATTGATTCCAGCCTCAAAACGGTCTCGCATCATGGTTCCCAGCATATCGTCGAAATTACAATTTATTGCTAAATGTTTCAATTCTCTAAGATATTCCGAAATTTATTCTCCTTCCTGTTGAATTCTCTTTAAAAATCTGCATCGCTGTGGTATCACTTTATTCTTTGGATCCAAATGCAGCTTAATTCTTTGAATGATAGTATCATAGGGTTAATTTTCATTAGACCAGGAACAAAATGTCGTTTCCCTGCTTCAAAGTTTCATAATCTGGTAGCGAGGTAAAAATCAGCACTTTAATCTCCTCTTCAGACGCCAAGTAGAAAGCCTCAAATATTTGTACAAAAAGAAGGAAGTGTCCTCCACTGGGCTATAGAATCTAAAAGGTACTATTAACTTTGAACTTGTCATGCTGATCTTTTCTATTCCTTTGTTTTCTTGATCCAGATAGTTTAAAAGATGTAGTTGTCATACTTGCATAGACGCCATTTTCCTCAGCTTTTTACTGGCTCTGTAGATCGCGCATCCTCGTCGCCACTTTTGTTGTGTCGTAATTAGACTACAAGAGCTCAAACTTGACCATGGCCAACAACAAATGTCCAATTTATATATATGTCATAATATATGCTCTTCCAGGATTAATAAAACAAGCCAACAGCCAACGAGAGAGAGATGGGTAGCTAAAGCGAGACACTTTAGACAACTAACTTACGACCATTTTTGGCCACATTCCTGAGGGGGGGGGGGGGGGGCGTCACCACCTGGCGAATTTCCTGGTTAGCTCCCCGGTTGTGTACACAGGGAAAACAGTCGTTCAGCGGATAAGCTCTCGCTCGCTCTCTCTCGGCTGGCTGCCTGGATTATTGCTCTAACAACTCGTCGTGTGATTATTTATCACCTCACCACATTATTACCACTATAGTGTCACATATACATATATTTTTACATGAGGCTTTAAATAATACAAATAATATTCATCTATTTACATAAACAACAGTTAATATATAGCGGGAAGAGTAGAGGACTGAGCACAGATCCCTGAGGTACACCAGCCCATGTTCTTCGGTCCTTGGAAAATGTTCCATTGACCCGAACCTTTATCCTTCTTCCCCTTAAGAAGTCTGCAATCCAGATTAAGGTTTTTCCTCTTACTCCGATGTTGTGCAGCCTTTCAAATAATTTCTACACTCGATCAAAAGCTGAGGTCATATCCAGGAATACGGCCGTTGTCTTCTTTGGCGGTGTTTCCTAGAAATCTATTATTGATTGACAGAAGTAGAACAGTTTATCAGTTGTACAGTGTCTGGATCTTTAGGTAGTTTGGTAGAAGTTTATTTTATTTTTGTTAGTGAGCCAGACTATGAGCCTAAAGTGGCTAATTCATTCTGTTATTTTACAAAGTATGCTGGTAAGAGCAATTAGCCGATAGTTCTTGCATTCCTTGGCATCCTTGTTTGGTTTCAGTATTGGCACTATAATTGATATCTTCCAATTCTTTGGTAGTTTACAGGTTTGCCATGAAATCTTCAGTATTCGTAGGAGTTGATTTTTAGCTTCGTCTTCAAAGTGTTTAATCATTTGACCAAAGATTAGAGCAACTCCAGGTGACCTCTTGGATTTAACTTTTCTATTTATGAGTTTAGCTCATTCAGTGTGAAGTCTCTCGAGTAAATATCTTGTTGATGGTAATTTCTTGCTTGTTTAACTAACTTGTTTATAAAACAATACTTAAAGTTTCACCGCATAAGTTTCACCGCATAAAAAAAAATACATCCAGGGTAGCCTAGTGGACATGGCATCTGCACGGTAAGCGGAAGATTGTGGGTTCGAATCCCGCCCCTGGACACTTTTATTTTTCCGTTCGCCATTACTCTTCATATTTTCACCCTTTCATACCTCATCCAAAAAAGTTAGAAATAGTAAATATTTCTCTTTGAAATAAATATTGATTTTTCACAGAAAAGAAACCCTTGCGGTGAAACTTTAAGTATTGTTTTATAATCACACGCCGCAGTCCTTTATAATGTATTATAAGTTACTTTAAGTATTATTTACGAACGAAAAAATACGTCCAGGGTAGCCTAGTGGACATGGCATCTTCCCGGTAAGCGGAAGGTTGTGGGTTCGATTCCCGCCCCTGGACACTTTTATTTTTCCGTTCGCCATTACTCTTCATATTTTCACCCTTTCATACTTCATCCAAAAAAGTTAGAAATAGTAAATACTTCTCTTTAAAATAAATATTGATTTTTCACAGAAAAGAAACTTATGCGGTGAAACTTTAAGTATTGTTTTATAATCACACGCCGCAGTCCTTTATAATGCGTTATAACTTGTTTATATTATTTTTTAGAGTCCTGTCTTCATTCGTATAGCTGAGTCTGGAAGTGCTTGAAAGATATTCAGCAATTATTTCAGCCATCTGTTTGTTCGTTCTCGCTATTCATATCGGTTAGAGTATTGGAGGATTAGCGTAGGTTTTGATTGTTTTATAACACTAATTATATTTCAGTGATGGCTTTCCTTTTTGCATCCATTTTTTTTCGCAGAATTCTGCCCATTTTTCTCTCTCTTGTTTGAATTCAAATTTATTGTTCTATTTTGTGACTAATATTAATGAGTTCCTTTATGATTTCTTCTGTTTTATTTGTTTTAAGGAGTCAATTGATATTGTCTCTCTCTGCAATCATTGCCACGATATTGTGGTCCTTCCAGTAAAGTATTCACAGGTCTTTACGTCTACCTCTAAGTATCGATACTTTTGCAGCTTTGGATATCTTCGAAGATAATTTTTCCAATTTTTTATCAATCGTTCTGTGATTTAATTCTTCGTTGCACAGTTCTTCAATATTTTCTGTGAATTTTTCTCCAGTTTTCTTTTATTCTCTGTTGGAAATTCTCAATTTTAAATTTTAGGGTTGTTAAAATTGGTCTGTGGTCACTGATTGCACTTTTCAGAATTTTCCATTGTGTTGTGGGTGCGATGTTGTAATTAATCGCTGTGATGTCTATTGCGGATTCTGTGCCTGTGGACTTGGATAGATAGGTGTTATTTTCGTTATTTAACGGTGTAAGGTCGAGGTCGGTTAGCATGTCCTCAACCTGCTGATCTTTGCTATCCTGGACAGGTGATACCCAAGTTGGTCTTTCGGCGTTAAAATCACCAAGTATGATTGCGATATCCGAAGACGCTTCACTTAATGTCTCTATAAGGCCTGTATTGATGCTAGTATTATCGTGGTGATAAACATTTATGATTGGAATTGTTTTATCTGTAAGATAGATTTCTATTGCCTGAGCTTCTGTCGTGATTTCTCTAGGCTTACTCTGATTATAGGCGATTTCCTTAAATTTGATTTCTAGAGTTTTAATCAAAACAGAAAGTCCTCCTCCGAATTTTCCCGGTCTGTCCTTTCGTAGTGTTGTATAATCTTTGATATTGAATCTCAGATTCTGATTTAATTTTGTCTCCTGAGGACAAGTAATATGTACATTGTTGTCACAGAGAAGACAAGTCAGCTCTTTTTTTTATCTGGGAACCATTTATATAGAGTTGTAGTAGAATGAATTGTGTCCTCGTAGTAGATTTCTCATCATGAGCTCGAGCTGCAGCTCCTGACGCGGCGGTTACCCCGGACGCGGTAGCATTACTGGAGATATCAGTTTTGCTCTTCATTTGAAAATGGGTGCCGTTGCAACGTTAGTCATCTTGGAAATGAACCAGAATTTGGTCAAATATTCCAAGGTTCCAGGGGGGACCGCAAGGAGGTGTGGTCGGACTTCTCCCCTTCCCCCTGGAATGCCGTCACTACAGGATGAAGCACTCTTGGTGAATTTTTAAATTGTGATTCAGAATCTGCCACTGAAGCTTTACGAGCGTTTCGTACCTTTAAAGATATTCGGAGCGGTAAAGGACCCATGAGTTGCTACTCTCTAAAGCGATTGATTAAAAGTTTTGAGGAAACTGGATCTCTGGAAGCAAAACCTCGGAGTGGAAGACCATCGACATGCAAGTCAGTGGCTGTTACGGTTTTGCAGAATGCAGAAGCTATTGAAACGTTATCCACGTATGGAGAAGTAAGTGCTAGACAAGTTTCTCGACAAACGGGGATTTCGTATGGAACAGTTTGGAGAGAACACACATTTAGAATTTTTCTATTAAAAATACCCTAACAAAATACAAAGTTTTCACGAGTTGAAAGTCAGCGATTTTGAGAAGCGTCAAGAATTCGCTGCATGGGTTTTCCGGCAAATTGATATTGATGAAAACTTGCTGTCAAATGTTCTAAGAACATATGATGCTCACTTTTATCTAAAGGGAGAATTTAACATTCAAAACTGCCTAATTTTGGCAACAGAAAACCCTAGGATTTTTACAGAAATACCACTTCATCAGCCCAGAGTTACAGTTTTGTGTGGGTTCACTTCTTCTTTTATTATTGGGCCATTTTCCTTTAAAAAATCAATGGAAGAACTTTTAAAACCGTTTTTGTAACTTTTGGTGAACGTTATGTTCAACTTTTGAGAGAAAAGGTTATTCCCATATTCGCAGGACAGACAAGCACTAAGCGAAATAACATTCATGCAAGATGGAGGACCTCCTCATATCTCCCGCGGTGCCAAACAATTGCTGAAGGATACGTTCGGTGAAATTCGTTGAAGAATTTCGGTTATGGGGGTACATTAAGTCGCGTTTTTATCGACGCCGGCCTACCACATTGGCCATGTTGAAGGCTTCTATCAGATGGCACGTTTTATAAATTTCAACTATTTAATTGTGACCATTCTGTCATCTATCGTCTGCAGGCGGTATTTGAGAATGAAGGGCGCCACATTGAGCAAGGATTGTGACCTAATACAAGAGAGAAGGCAGTTACCTCATGTGTTATATATTGCATCTCTTTGTTTTGGGTTATGGGTATAATAAATGCTGTCCTCACATCTTGATTCTTTTTTTTCCTGTGAACAGTAATTTTTTTGTTTGTCATTTGCCCACATCTTATGTTTAGTTTATCGCTTTTCGCTTATTAGAAGAAATAGCATAAGGAATATTCTCTGTATTCCCCCCCCCCCCCCCAACTTTAGAAATTTTGCGCAAAAATAATACATAATGATTTTACTACCACGTTTTTCAACGCAAAAGGTCGATTTAAAAATGATTTATTTTGAGGGGATACATTTTCAAAATTATGTACAGTATAATAAACAATGATAACATTTGACAAACCCATAGGATATTTGGAATAAAGTACGACAAATATATTTTGTCACTCCTCTCTATATATTATTTTTGGATCATGACAAATATCCAGTTAAATAGTCAAGTGTCGCCAATTAGTCAAGAAACTATACATTCCTTATAACACGAAATCCTATTAGTAGTGCCATCATAATTTTTGGTACTATATTAACATTTCAAAAATCGTGTATAGATATTAATAGATATTTTAAACATCCAATCTATTTCACAAAACTCCATCTAAAATATATTTTTGCTACATGTTTTAATTTGCATATACCTATTTTACATATCTCAGATTGTATTTAAAAATCGTCAACCAATTCTTCTAACTTTTGGCGAAATGGTGTTTTATTAATTTATCATTTGATATTATTAGGGTTCTTTCCTGGTATTCAAAAAGGAATAATACGTGTCGTTCAGTTATATTTTTCAATTTATCAAACAGTTTGGGCGCTGAATCTCTGATTCTGGTAGAGCGCCATCTAGCGAATATAGTTTTAACTAAAATCAATTTCGATTTTTTCATTATTTGCCATAAAAAGTCCCATTGCATCCTGAACACAATGGTGTTTACCGCATTGCTCTAGCGCAAATATTCGCGGAGTTATTAATTTTTAAAATTGTGCGGGACTTTTGGATCACCCTGTATTTAAAAAAAGTACGCTAGCAACTTGAAAAAAAAAAATTGCAGAACGCTCATTGGTCGCTTAATTGGCCTGGTGTTGTTACTTCGCCTCGTATTTACTTAGGGCAAAAAATGTTCTTCAAATGTAAAAAATAAATAGCCAAAAATACTTATCAAAATGTTGCCGAAATTTTTCTCAGGTTTATAAAGCGACAGGCAAATTTCGGTACCAATTGGTTCAGTAGTCTTTGAGTTTATCGCGAAACAAACAACAGACATTGACTTATATATATATATCGTATATTTTAAACTGAATGACACTTTTAGTATATGTCACATATCTTCCAATTAGTTAGAGCCTATACCATAAAGATCCTACCCTTCTATTAAAATGTATACTATTTCTATTTACTACCACCCCATATTTGTATATAAACTATTCGTATTTAAACCCCTATTTGTATGTAAAACTAAAAATGTTGACGTCAAAACAAAGATCCAAAGAGTGGTCTTTCAGCTGGTGGCAGGGACTGAGGGGAGCAAAAAGCCAACCCTCAGCCTATGTGGGGCTCCCAGGGACTCTTTATAGACGACCCCTGTAAACAGGACAGGTTTTGGCAGGGGGTCAGCAGATGTTCTAGGGTGTGTCGATCGACAGGTCGCTTTTGTCTCTCTCAAGCTCTCTCTCCATGTCTCGGTGATACGCATCCAAGTTTGTGTCATGGCCTCTACCTCTGTCCCGTGTGCTGTCCCCGATCACTCTCGGTGCTAACATCTAGCCCTGCCTCTGCTTCTTGTTGTCCGCGTGTGGGAAGAACTTCAACACTCGCCTCACGTACACGACTGCCAGCTTATCCATACATGGACATTTGCAACAATATTACTATATATATATATGTTGAGGTATCTAGTCGACTTAATCAATGGTGTGAGATCCTGTCGAGTCTCGCTATACTGTGTTAGCCCTGAGGAACAGGC